TACACACTATTCACACCTTACAGCTTACAGTATTGTATATGAAAATCCTACATATAGTATTTTTTATGTTATCTTCGTATTATATGTGATTTTTTTATATTATAGAAAGTAAACTCTTAATTCATTCATCCAACTTGAATACGTCCCCTTCAAAGTAATCCCCTGCCACTGCAATACATACTGCACTTCGCGTTCTGTTCGACCGTCTACGGTGATATAGATGTACAGGGTATCTCAAAAGTGTCTCTCTTCCGGGAACTGAGGGGTTGCTGGGATGATTTGAAACCACTTTTTTCTTAGCGAAAATGTTATCTGCGGCTTTGTTAACGAGATATTAACGAAAAACCCCGACCAATCAGAGCGCGAGTTTGCCAGCCGAGTTCCCGCGCTAGCGGTGGTTACGCACTACACTTGTACTATGAAACTCCGAACAAGCAAGTCGGCATGCATCCCAGGAAACTGCGTATAATAGCAAATAAGAAAAACATAACAAATCGAACTGTTTGAGCTTAGAAACCCATTGAGAGTTGTCGTTGCGAAGAAGGACTTGAAAAACAGTTAGCCCAAGTGCCATAAACTTTCTCTTTTGAAAATCTACGAAGTCCAGAGTACCTCAGCGTGAGCCCAAATGCATTTGTTTTAACGAATGTCTAAACTAGCGATGACGAACTCATGACAATTAGGGATTAGTTGCACATTGTTACCCGGGAAAGAGGGATTTCGGTATGCCTCTTCGAGGCCACGGGCCTGGCGTTGAAGTGCGTGGCCTACGCAAAGACAAGGGTCTAGAGGTGGCGTTACCCGGTGTGCTAATTCCCCCTACTTTTCCACCCTTCATTTGGAGGGTTCGAATGTACTTCGCTCTCGGAGTCGGAGAGTCACTAGGATCGTCCTTTTCCTACCTTCTGTTTCAAACTAATTGGAGTAAGACGTTGGGGCAACCGATCCTTCGTCTCCTAAGATGCGTACCAGCTCACTCTTGTCTTCACCCACAGGCCGAGCCTGTATTAACGTCAACGAGAGAAAGATAGATTGCCTACTGCAACTCCCTACCGTGACTTGCCTATGTCCCGAATGTTTCAGGAGCACCCCCTCCCTTATTTTACCCCGTCCAGAGCTACTACCCCCCTGTTCGTGGGATTGTTTTTGGTGGGAACACCGGTGTTCCAGATAGATAGACGTAGGCACCGTGCTAGCTGGTCTCTAGTAGAGATGTGACCGGGTTCGCACTACATTGGTCGTCTCCTGGGAGGTGCGAGGCGTCCTGGTTGGATTCATCGCGGGATTTGAAGTTAGTCTCGCTATAGTGGGGTGTTTAAGTGTTTATGATAGTACAGACGAGTAGAGCAGATCGCGCCCTCTGTTGTTGTCTTTTGCCCAACCTTCCCCTATCCTGTTTTTCTCCCCCACCCTAGAGAATGTGCAAGGAAACGCGACATGGAGTGGTGGCCCTCCGGACTTTGCAGCAATTTCCCTGAAGATGGTAAATATCAGATTCATCATGGACCACTATCCACGAACCCATGACCATAGAGTGACCGATGAGACAATTTTAAGGTACCTGTATGAATTTCAATTTTGTGTTCTTTTTTGCTACTATAGATGAATTAAAAAGTTAAATATAAAAATTGTATTTATTTTTTAAATTACTCGGTTCAAATATTTTACCCGGGACTTTTAATTACATTTTTAATTCGATTCTGGCCTACTGCCAAAACAGGCTCACCATCGCTAGTCTAGACATACCTAAACAATTCTGTTCCGTCCTAGACCAGGAACAACGGCTATAGAGTCGGACGATACCGTTAGTTTTGATTATTTTATTTCCTTCGTACGTGCATTTTAGACATTTTCAACACCGGCCCCTTGCAATTTAGATTTTGTTAACAAAAAGGAATAACAGACAAAAGACTCAACCATTTGGTCTACAATCCACCACGTGCGCACTGTAACCTCGGACCCATTCGCTCCAGCCCTTACCGAGGTGCGCTCACTCGCATACAATATAGCCATGAACCCTACCGTTGGGAGACTCGAAATTTCGTCTTGATCAAGTCGCCTCGTGAGCGACATTTTTCTCGCGTCCGCTTCGCCCGCTAAGCTTGGAAAAACCCAGCAATTTGCCTTCCCCTTCAGGGCATAACCAATTAGGATGCGAATTTTGGTAACGCCTTCGGCCAGCTTGAAGAACCGCGACGCCACACGGACTCGTAAATTCATACACGATCATTCGTTCACGATCACGCATCGCAAACAATCACGAATTCGTACACGATCATTCGACAAGTAACGTTCAACAAGACTTGATCACAGTAACTCGTAATTCATCAGCTTCACCGGTCAAGTAATCATACGGTTCATTCTCACTTAGAGAATCCTGCAACAGTTGCTTAATATTAAATTGGCGGGCAACAGTCGCAACTGGACGCGTACCACGACGATCGAATCTGGGATTTACAATCCCAGGCAAATTCGAAAGAGAATTCGCGCGGACGGGCGCGACAAATTCTATTAGACAAAAATAATGCCGGTTTTAAGTTTTATATAATTTTAAGTGAAGATTTCGTTCCTAAAGATCTTGATCCGCCATATCTTCAATTGCATCACATCGGACAAAAAATCAAACTGGTTTGAACCACCTGTGTATACGGGCGAACTTGTCGTATACGTAGAGGAGAGTGGAAAATTGAGAATACCATATTTGAAGATCTGCTAAATGAACCAAATAAATTTTGCGAGTATTCTAGAAAAAATCCTGAAACGACTTTTTACATTTTAAATGGGATTAAAGAAAAGTCATAAACATAAGTTGTAACCGTACATATATGTATAACCCGAAATATGAGAGGGGAAGGATAGGCACGAGTAAGGGGAAGCGCCCCACCAATATCGATACGCGACGATACGTTAAATATGCGCGTGAGATCCGAGCAGCACAGATACCACGTGATAGCGAAGCGTGCGTGCGCACCATGCCCCACCAAATCTCGATCGAAGGAGGTCGATACGCGGCTGTCGATCTTCACTCTACGTCTGGACGCGATCTAGTTCAGGTGTTCTTCTGTAGTAGAGTCCGTTAGGCGAGTTACGAAGACGTGAATAGTAACCGGCTCGTGTGTCTTTACCGCGTGCGCGTCTCAAGCAGCAGAGTCCGTGTAGCAACCGTATCGTAACCGAACTATGCGTGATTAACACAGTTATCACCTACTGGAAGCAACAGCGTAGCAATCACCCGTTTTCTATACATATTAACCATTTACAAAATAACGATACTTTCAACATAAAACCATAGAAAATCATATTTAACTCAGTAAATCGATGACTGTGAGAATCAAGCATATCTAGGTTAAAAACCAGAGAAGCCAGGTAATCACCGACTCTATACGTGTTAACGTAAGAGGTAATATCGTGATCCCGCTGCTTGAGTCGCTCGCGCCGTTTAGGCATTAGACCACGTTGTATTAACGGATATATATATATTTGTAACGACGCCGAACGTCGAGTATCATAACCTTCGTTTCAAACATATACGTCTCGCCTAACGCTAGTGTATGTAATTTAAATAGGTAATTCTTTGCCAATGTTCTGTGCTAGAATTTGAGCACGAGTAACCAATCCACGCAAGGATCGATTACTCGTGACAAGCGTAGAGTGGAAGTGCAATCGAGGTCTTTCTACCAGTACCGGATAGAAGCTCTGAGCTCACGAAACCGTGCCTCAAGCCGAAGTCTTAGGTGCTGCTGACCGACCGAGGTTTAGCACGCGTCTCCATCCAAGACGTCCTCCCAATTTATTGGCAGGATTATTGGTTGCTGCGACAGATGCACTGGGGAACATTGAAGCCCCATAGGAGTGTTCTAGATTGAGGGCAACCAAAGTTTTTCTACCAGTACCGGATAGAAGCTCTGAGCTCACGAATCCGTGCCTCAAGCCGAAGTCTTAGGTGCTGCTGACCAACCGAGGTTTAGCACGTGTCTCCATCCAAGAAGTCCTTCCACGTGTGGCAGGATCATTGGTTGGTGGGACAGATTTCTGTACACTATAAATTACATTCACGCATGCATTCGCCACTCACGATACATTGGCAAAGACACCGTGTAATGGGCGCGTTCGTGTGAACGACATACCGCCCATCGTGGACGAACGTCCAATTAGCGAGACCGAATCGGGAATTGTAAACTATCGGAACTAACAGAATATACACCAATTCTACCAGATTAAATCTATAATTTTCTGACACATTCACACCACCACTTCCGTCCTCCAAGTACTGGAGACTCGAACCTCACCTTTACGCGATAGCACGGGAATTCACCGGGTTGATCCGTCAAGGGAAGGTAACCGGCCTTCACGAAAATATATATATATAGTATTCCGCGATAGAGTCAAACATACGGTTACATAATTAATACCCGAACAGGGACGGTCAAGAAAAAGCGGTTACATTATTGACGCCCGAACAGGGACAGTAAAAAAAAAAGCGGTTACAAAGTACACTTTTGGTGAGACATGCCCCTGTTGTAATTCTTATTCTTCATGCTCCGTAAACAATTATGCCAAAATACGATAGCGATAAGTTTTCATTATCCGTTGTAGATGATTTTAAATAAGAAGTTCGTTGAAAACATTCACCGTAGAATTACAGATTCGACACAAAATTAAACTGCTTATTTGTAATTTGTGATCTTTGGATCTGCGTGACAACTGGTTGTACTATCCGCTATGCGTTACCATATATTTTTTCTACTGAGAATAATAAGGAAACGATATGATGTGATAGAAAAGGAGATCAAGCTGGTTCTATCAGTGTCATAGAATGCAGAATTGTATATGTACATAATTCCGTTTGAGTATTTCGAAAAAATTGTACTCACCGTTAATTATTAAAATTCTTTTCCAGCAGAAAGACTACAAAGTTTAATTAGTATTCGCCATTGCAGTTTCTTTTTGTATTTAAACTAACATGAACTTACATAAGTATAAAAGCTGTACCTACTTACCAATATCTGAGATCAACTCTACTGCGTAAAAGACAACAACATATGTCCCACTAATTAGTTGAAGGATATTAAAGATGTTGATGATTGTCAGGGGTTTCAAAATGCTTGGATCAAGGATCGTAGAGATTGCTGTAAAAATCTGCTCCAACCAGGACATGCTTGTAACCTTTCGTGCTAAATCTGCTTTCACTCGAGCTTCCAAAATTTCCATTTCAGTATTGACCTGAAAATAAATGTTATACGTATAGAATTATTAATGCAAATATTTTGTATTCATAATGATGCAACTGGAACGTCGAACGTGCACGATGACAAAACAGGGATCAACGCAAGTCGTAATGATTAGAATGTGAAACTAGCAAAACGTGCAAAATTCCATGGCAGTCACTGGAAGCATATTTCGTAGAAATGTGGGAGAGCCGAGGAATGACACGACCTACTCGACTCTATATTGTCTAGCGCTTTTCCGTGACAACTACACGATAACTTCATACGTAGACAACATGCTTCGTAATGAACAAGACCTGCATTTCATTTTAGTAAAACTTGAATCACTGACAATGTTCATTTCGGAAACTATGTTTCTGGTACACGAACATGTGTTTGTCATCACGGCATATTTCGTACAAAGTTACAAAGGATAACAATTAACAAAAAAATTACTTGAAAACGTTTACATTAATTTCATAACTGTTAGACAGCTGGACAATCTATTAAGTTAAGTTTGGGTTAGTTTTTTTAATCCGGTCACCGTAACCGACGATACAAGCTCTTTATATCTTACACTGCGTTATTAAAGTTTCCCAAAATTGTTCTTGCGAGAACGAAATTCTCTTGGAAAATGTGTATACGTAATAATTAATAACTTTTTAAGAATTAATGAGCGACGGCTAAAACCTTGTTGGATTTACTCAGGAGAGTGTCCTTGGCAACATATGTCAAGGTCATGGTCATCGGTGTTTCCGCCCCTAAACGTAAGTTTTATCATTTAATAAAAATAGATTTGTTCAAAAACTGTACGTACTGGGAAAACAATGGTTTGCAGATTCCTATTTAGCACATAAAGATCTATCAGAAACGCTTATTGAAGATGCAAGGTCGAAAAAGGTTAAAATTTGTTAAACAGTAATTAAACAACTATAATTAAAACAAACTATAATTAAACATAGTTTCTTTTCACAAAAAAATTACGTTTTCCTTTTATATTGAATTATAATGTGTTTTTCCAAATCTGGATCATCGAAATTGAGTTTCGCCCCGCTGGATTACTAAAATGTCACACTCTGCGCTACAACGGTAACGAAATACATAGGTACTTGACGAGAAAGTTTTGCCAATGGCCAACAGTTGCATGCGGATCGTATACACATCAGAAGATTAAACATTGTGTTATGTTCTTGCATCCTATTGTTTATTGCCGCCAATAAAATTTGGTTTCGTGATGACATACATGAAAGCATTAACGAAACTTTTCTTCGTTTTGAATGAATTGCCTGTATAATGTATAAAATTCACACCCTCATTTTCTCGGAATTTCAGACTCCTGTATTTCTTTTAGACTCTTTTAAAATTATTTTCATCTTTATCTAGTAGCAAAACTAAAATGAAGAGTATTGGATCACGGCAAAAATTTTGATGGATTTTGTTCTAAAAGAGTAGACTAATAATAAACTTAATCATAATTCAATAATGATTTATCGAAAAAGATCATGATTCTTTTATAGCATACCGATGTAGTTTCTATACAGACTTTAATTCTAATAAACAAACTTTTGAAAGATTAGTTTTTGGTGAGTTTCTTTAATTATAATTGTATCAATAACAATTTCTTCAAACGAATAACAAATGTCCTTTGCGGCATTTGTAACGTTTATTCCTTTTATTTTTTTAATTTCTTTGCAAGAGTCTAATGTTAATTCTATTTTAAACAAAGACACACATCTAATCGCGTCAATTTTTGCTCTTCACAACAATTTATTATGCTACATTAACATCGACACATAATATACTAACATAATTGTTTATTATTTCCACAAAACCATGGCGATCAGATTAATTGCAGAAAACCCATCAAAACTTTGCACTGACCCAATAAATGTTCATAGTTTCTGTTTCGGTGTTCGTTTACAGCATCGACGCATGGACAACTAAACGTTGTCGTTTATATATTGTATCTTGCTATTAAATGGGCGACAATTTAGAAAACAGAATTATAAAATATAATATTAATTAATTTCTCTATGAGGAAAAATGAATACATTCAATAATACGGAGTGTAACATCCGTAAACACAATAGAAAATTTAACTATTACAAACAATTACAGTTCGTACCTGATCCATGTTACCTCCTCTCAACCACAGCAGAGCTTTTCTTGCCTTCCTAGGCTTTTCCTGCTTCATAAGCCAGACAGGGCTTTCTGGTATGAAACTTAACGCAGTCAGTGCTATAAGAGGCAGTACAATTCCGCAAAAAGCTACGATATCCCAAGTAAACGAGGCTCCCAGAGAATACACTAGGAGAATACCGAGACAATAAGAAACGAGTGATCCTCCGGTTAGAATTCCACGGAGTTCTGGATCAGATGTTTCAGCTAACAGAACCTGCGAAAGAAATTAAAAAAAATTAGAAAACTTTTTAAAAACAGGGCTACTTTTACAACAATGTGTATATAGCAACACACAAGGAATTTATTAAACTGTTGTAACTGATACAATATATCATTCAAGGATTAGTATTGGTGATACGAACATATTCACGTCAAAACTTAGAATGAAATAAAATCGCATAGGCTACATAAAAAACATACCTAAATAAATAGAGCAGAACGCCGATAACTAATGAGGCAAATGTGTTCGAATACATGATACTTTGGAATTAGTTCAAGAGAACCAAAGTTTAAAACGACAAGAAATAAATTAATTTTGAAAAATAAATGTTTATTCCATGGAAAAAGGTATAAAAACATAAACAAACATCTAAATGTGATTTGACGTATTTTCAGCTTCATTATTTTTATAACAAAAATAGGTGAAATAGTATAATTTTCGTTTATAGTTTCATTTCCTTAATTATGTGGCGGCTGGAGAATTGCTTCCATGCCCTTGTCACTTTTTTCATTAGGCTTTCGCAGTTTTGTCTTTTTAAATCTTTTGTTCAACTTTACGATTTCCAGCCTATTCTTCTCTTCTAAGATTCGGAAAGCTCTGAACGAGCCTGGTTTTTACTGTACATATGTATTTCGTAGCACATGTTATGATACATTCACTTTTTGGAGTAAGATTTCAGATTTTGTTGGAACATGGATATGTTCTAGTCTTTAGTAGTATATATACGTATATCAAAGGGTTCCTGCAAATTTTTTAAATTGTTGATTTTACAGCTGTTTGAATACAGTGTCAACCTTTTTTCAATGAAGCATAACTGCTGAGCTAACAAACTAATCAAAATGAATTTTGTGAGTGCTTACAGCGGAGACATAAGAGTACTTAATGCAAATTATTTCAGTTACAAAAAAAAAAATGTTTAACCACTTATTCTGCAATTGTTTTCAAGAAATGCAATTTTATAATAGCGGGCCACCATTGAAAGATTTGAAGAAAATGAGGGTATAATCCTATTTGTCCTCTGTATCGATAAATGAAAAAAATATGTACACTTGAAAATTGAACATATATATGAAAATTAATCGAAGTTAACCTACGTCGAAGCACCTCGGTTAGATCGGCCGAACGGTCTCGGCTAGCCTCATACCGCACGAATTTTTTTTAGAATTTGTTCATAAAGAAGACAAATAGGACTATATGCTCATTTTTTTAACTTTTTCAATAGTACTCCGTTATTATAAAATAGCTTTAAAAGAATTGCAAAATAAATGGTTGAGAAATATACTTTATCAACTGAAATAATTTTTATTAGGTTTTATTAAATTTGATTACTCTTATGTACTGTAAGCATTCACAAAGCTTATTCTGATCAGTTTGTTAGTTCAATAGTTATGATTTATTCAGAAAAAGTTGACACTATATTTCAAACAGCTGTAAAATCAACAATTTAAAAAATTTGAAAAAGTTTTTCGAAAAACGTTTATATATCACTGAAGACTATAATATGTGAAATAACAATAGAAACGAATTCAGAACTAGAACAATACCCTAAAGGAAGGTACTGGATGCTCGATAAGAACACCAACTAACAACACCTCTATTAGATTGAACGACATTCTGTCTTCTACAGTGAAGTGTACGCACTGAAAAAAGCATTAGAATTTACTACAAGCTCCCTTCAAAAAGAATTTAAAATATTCTCGGACTCAAGAAGTGCCATCGCAGCAATCAAAGATACTACATCTGTCGACGCACTAATACAAGAAATCCAAGAGCTATATCTAATTGCCAGAAGTAGAGGCTAATCGATAGTAACATGTTGGATACCGTCGCATTCAGGTATCAGCGGAAACGAAGAAGCCGATAAAGCAGCGAAGACAGCAGCCAACTCAACTGATAACAATATAACGACTTTCCCAAACGTCATATATAACGACATAAAAAAGCATGTAAAATATACGCACAAGAAGCAGGTACTGCAAACATTAACTGAACAGTATTCCCAAAAGTACCCAACATTAGGAAGTGACATCAAATGGCAAAAATTCCCTTACAATACAAATCGCAATATACAAGAAATAATTAGTAGAATTAGGATAGGTCATACGGCTCTAACGCACTTATACATACTAGAAAAACAGGAACGGCCAAACTGCGATCAATGCAATGTACCAAACACCATCAATCACATCATACTGGAATGCAAAAACTACGACACCGAAAGAAGAATAGCAAATCTGCCAAACAACATCAGGAATCTGCTCACTTCAGAGGATAACCTAACGAAACCCACCCATTTTATAAGTTCAACCAAACTATACCAAAAAATGTAAGCCACTAAACAGACTGTCAATGAAATAGTAACGTACAAGCTACTGTATAGTGTTGCTAATGGCCTTTGATGTTGAAGCAACGTAAAAAATTTATATATAGAAAAACTACAATATGTTAAAGTTTCAACAAAATCCAAAATGTTACTCTAAAAAGTGTCCGATTTCGCGTGGAATGACCCTCCGCTACAATTTGCCATTGCCGTCTAGCGGAACATAAATTTATATAATGCAGTTCACACGAGACGCAAATTATAGCAGCTATTAAACGGAGAATTCACGCTCGTCAAAATGCTAGGCCCGGTGCGGACGAGCGGATTGCGACAGTTTGCCGCCTCGCTTTAGCAGCTCATAGATTTATAGACTCATATAACGCAGTTCACACGTGACGCAAACTTGAACGGCACCTAGGTGGTACGTTTGCGTTTGTTAAGAGGACTAGGAAGTTGTTTTTCGTGAAAAAAACCTTATTTCTCATTTATTTGTAAAAAATGAAAGCAAATCCAGGTGTATCCTTTTACCCAATGTTGGTTACTATCATACCGATTGAAAAAAATTGATATGAAATATATATCTGTTTTAAAAATGGCGGTGTAAATTGGTAAACATTTCAATGTTTTTACTTTTTTTTATGTGCGCCACGATAACAAGGTTGGTAAATATTTCATTTAGGGGACGCAACTCCAATGATCTTAACCTTGATATATGCTGCCATGGTCAATCTCCTCAGTGAGCTTCAGAAGGTTCTAGCCATAGTCCGTTTTTTATTAAAAACTTACAAACAAAACATCTGCAACATATAATAGTTATTTTGACTTTTAAAAGGCTATAATGAACTTGACCTTGACATATGTTGTGCACTCTCTTCAGGGATGCTGAGAAGGTTTTAGCCGCTTCTCTTTATTTGTTAAAAAGTTATTAACAAATAAATTTCGCAATATACAGGTGTATGTTTAACTTCATAATTTAAATTTTACCTAGTACAAACATTATATTATTAGCATATCTGCTTGTTTAAGTGATTGCTTGGCGGGGTGGGGGGGGGGGGGATCCACCCCTACCCCTGCACCCCACCTCAAGAAAAAATTAATCCAAACATAACCCCACTTCAGTTCTGATTAAATTAAACTGAGATTTGGGTTAGGTTAGTTTTATTCGGGTGTGTGTGTTCAAGAAAAGGGGCGAAGTCCTTTTCACAGGAAGTACAACAGTTTCAATTTCAGTAAAATCTCACACATCGTGTACAAAAGTGATCCGCTTGGTGTAGTTAGATTATGTACATGCTTGCAGAATCTATGCTTCTGCGAATTTTTCACTGAAATTTTGACATAGCATTCTTGAGATGTTATATGATGAAAATATGTAATAAAGAAACAATTTTTCCAAAAATTTTGACGAGAGGGTACCCTTAAATCACTTTGTTTATCGAACGAGTTGAATATGAAATCATTGTATTTATTTTTGATTTTGAAAAATGGACATAAATGTATCAAAATATCTTTCGAGTACAAAATTACGTATCAATGAAGTATGGCTCACTATAAAATATAATACGAAGCATATACGTTGTTACGTTATCCGCGATTTTAGCCGGTCGTGCGGCCGTTACACGGCACGAACAAAGTGCTCCTTCCCGGCCCCCCACCTTCGGTCGCGTCGCCGCGAGTTCCTCCTACTTTTTACCGGACGCCAGCTACGATTTTACGTACCGACCGATATTCCTCGAATATCGAACCGAAACCTGCCCCTTCCAATGGGGCCGAAATCTACCGAACGACCGGGAAGAAAGCACCCACCGACGGATATTTCGATATAACCAGGGTTCCCAGGGTTCGGAAATACCGGAACGATAGACTCTCCTCGCGACAGGAGTTCCCGTTGGACGATACAAACAATTAAGAGAAATCAAAAACCACCTCTCGGGACCGGTTAACAGATTGAATAACAATTTATTAGATTTCTCACGCCGGCCTCTTACGAGACCGCGTTACAACAGGTGTTTCGGTAATTCAACAAAATAATACACGGCTTGACGGTCGACTATCGTCGCGGCCTGCGCCTTCGATATCACCGGATTTCGGTATGATACGCGATGTTTCGCTATTTCGCGGTCTACGACCGCTCGAGATGTTACATATGAATTTTCATTGGCACGGTCGGACGGTATTCCACTACCGCAGATTACAAAAGTTGGTACAATGACTTGAGTGACTTAACGCGGTGACTTGGCGTCTTGGAGGAAAGCTGCCCGGAATTCTCGATATTCTGTTTCCCGATAAACCCCGTGGTTCTCCCGCGCTCATTAGCGAGATGCGACTCTAGGTTTTCTATCGCGACATGGTCGGGACGGACGAGATCTGGATTGCCCTACGGAGATCAGACGAAAGAGCTCACTTACAGTTAGGCGATAATTCTCCTCGCAGCCTCGCTACCTCTGGGGGTGTACTTTACACACGCGATACGCTAAGAACCTTACTTCGGTAGACGGGTCACTCAAGTGACGATTTCGGGGCTCGTTACGCTACGCGAGAACCTAGCGGGCCCCCCACTAGGCGGTTCTATTGCCCCGCGTACCCCCTTTGACTCATGCGGAGCCACGCTCCTTCGGCTCATGGACGACACGCCACGGAAGGATCCCCTGGCCTTGGAGATTCCTACCCTTGTGTGAGGAGCCCAGTCTTACACCCTCTTACGTGGTTGCTGCAACTTCTCACGGGTCGCCTGACACCTGCTTCCTCCATCGTAGGGTCCTTCTTCGGAAGGAAACGTCCGGGCCGCCAATCCTGGTCCGGTGGGTGCACGTTGCCCCCTCGGCCGACCAAGCGCCTCTCGAAACCTGTGCTCGATACGAGGGAGGGCCCTTTTCCTCCTGTCCTATCCCCCTGGGATAGGACCCTTATCCGGTCGGCCGCCGCTCGACGGGAATCCGGGGCGGTCTCTAGAGCAGAGTCGGTGGGTATGGGCGATATCGCGTCCTCCGTCTCGTATTGACCCCGATCGCTACGGTCCTGTAATCGCGAGCGGTAACTCGGCGCGAGATTACCACGTGATTAATTTAAATTCAACCGGTAGCATTTCCCTACGTATCCTCCACGAGCGCTTGGATGTTATTTCGCGCGAATGTGAAGTTGCGGGGGGGGGGGGCGGTCCGGTTCTCGGTTCTTCCGTGCCAGAGTCGAATTTCGGGCCGGAAAGGGCACGGCGCAAAATGCGTCGTAACAACGTATGTGTATACCTACATATGTTCCATGTCGCACTGAACTTGCTAAATTCAATGCCTTGGAAAATAACGCTTCCAATCTTTTTAGGCAGTTTGTCTCTGTACAAAGAAGCTATTAAGGAATTTATTATGCCACGAATTCATGACGCTTCTTTTCACTCATCGAGTGATTATTGGTTGTAGGAAACAAGATGGTAACTAAACGTTGCTGTTTTGTGAATACCTACCTGATGAACAACTTAATGGGTTGAGTTTGATATCTGTGACTACTTTATTGTATGTATGTAAAATTTGTGCACAAATTACAAAACAGTAATTATAAATAATAAATAATTTGACTTATACGATTCATTTAGTGACACAGAATAAAAATGTTAAAATGTAGTAAAATCTTTCAGAATTGACTTAAATATAATGGTAAATTCTTGAAAATTGTAAAATTAATCTTACTTACACTGACGAAATACATTATGGAATAATAAATTGTTATGGCATACCTGAGCTGGTACAGCCATCAAGCCTACAGCAAAGCCGGCTACGATTCGTCCTATTAGAAGAGAAGGTATGTTCCTTGACATACCCATAACGATCCAGCCTGCACAGAGTGGTATAGCTGTTAACTGTAAAGAACCGCGTCTACCTATACCATCTAACAGTGGGCCAGACAATAGAGATCCCACAGGTGTCGCTAAACTGTGAACTGACGCTGTAAAACAAGATAACAAAATCTATACAAAACTTTCTGGTAATTACATACAATAGGGTCTATCTTGTTGATTTCAATGACATTCACATAATGGTATGAAAGCCAATTTTATATTATACGTACATATAATTGCCGCCCAAGTTTAGTTTCAAAGATACACACAAACATATTTTTGTGACAAGAGTTTTTCGAAAATGATTTGGGCATTTTTCCAAATGCAGCTGTTGATTGAGCTAGTTTATGTCGCGAATTGTGTGTTTTATGGGTAAACAAACACTCTGTTCAGATCAGAGGCGGAAAAGAAATTGTGAAGTTTGACGAAACGAAGACTGGCAAATGGAAGTACAATAAAGAACGACTTGTAACTGGACAATGGATTTGTGTACTTTTATTGTACTGATTTCTAATAGATCTTCTGAGATTTAGCTTCATGTCATCTGCGAACGTATGAAACCCGGTATCATCCATATCTCCGATTATTGGAAATTCTACAATAATGGTTTAAGTGATGAAGGGTATAAACGTCTAATTATCAATCATGAAATGATTTCATTGATCTATACAGTGATGTGCATACTCAAAATGTAGAATATCCTTGGCGAGAAACCACAGTATATACCTGAATATTCAACGATATGGATCTTGTAACGAACACTATGTTGGTTAGACAGGGTGTCCCAAAATGATGACACAATCCGCGATATGCATATTCCTCATGCAAATACAAATCGAAAAGCTTTTTACCGTATCGTAATCTAAAGCTGTATTCCCGAGATATCAACAGTTAAACGAAGTCACACATACGCGCAGCCACAGTTAAGAAGCGCACGACTTAAGTCATTGGCCTCTGCTTCATAACTGTGTCTCCGCGAACGTGTGGCCCACGGCTCAACTGATTGGAATTCGTTTAACTGCTAATATTTCGGAAATGGAGCTTCAGATGACAAAACGGTAAAGGACTCTTCGATTTGATTTTGCATGAAAAATATGCATGTTGCAGATTCTCCCATCTTCTTGAACACTCTGTATTCTGAATTCTTGCTTCGGCAGCTATACGACTTTGATGATCCAATAATTGTATTTTTTTATATAATGGCAAAATGTTCCCAATTACTAGTTATAGTAACATCCTATACATGAGTTTAATATGAACTGTAATTGTGCTTCTATTTACGGAAAAAAATTAATATTTATGTTAGTATTTTATAAATTATTAATGGCGATATTACAGGTGTGTACTGTGGAAAATCTTCAGTCAATACATGACAAATTTAAGGGGTGATTCTTTCAGGCAAAATAAGACGAAAATCAAGAATAACGAAATAGCGAAAAATGCTTCGTTTGTTAGTTATAAGCGTTTAAAAATTGAACCAAATGATGGCAATCCGCGCGCACGGAGTGTCAGCAGATCACGGATCGTCAGAGGCGTACAGTCACTTTAATAAAGACTCAACGACGTGCAAGAAAGGTCGGTAGAACAGCTGTCAACTTACCCCGCAGATGCCGATAACTTGTGCCCGCGGTATTTGAGTCCACTTGTATAGCATTAACACTGATTACTCGATAAAATTCGCAAGAAATGTAAATATCTTCTTACGAATATTATCGAGTAGAGGGATGATACCCCCACTAGTTGTCATTTATAACAATTATCCTGTCGACGACTATCCATGAAATAAATCCGCACATGCACGTACACCACAGAAGTTCGCGAAAAGTGTCCACACACACTCAACGAATATCCCGTCCGCGAAAAATGTCCACACACTGCGCGATTGTCACGATCGCGAAAAATGTTCACACACTGCACGATTAATTAGACCCGCGAGCGGTCCTCCGTTGAGTTTAACACTCTACAGGGTGTCTCAAAAATATCCTCCGACCCGGAAATGGGACACTCGGGGGGTGAATTGGAATAACTTTTTCCTTAGCAACAATGTAATATGAGGCTTCGTTACCGAGATATTAACGAAAAACCGTGACCAATCAGAGCGCGAGTTTGCCAGATGAGTTCCCGCGCTAGCGGTGGCTAAGCGCTACGCTTGTACTACGCAGCTCCAAACAAGTAGTTCAGCACGCATCGCAGGAAACTGCGTATAATAGCAAATAAAAAAGACGTAACAAACACAATCATACTTTTTATCATCTGCCGTTTGTTATTTAAAGAGATTAATGAATGAAACGTAAATGTAGGCAAATTAGGCGTAACGTAAAAAGACGAATGCACATTTACTTTTTTGTAAATTCCTTTTCATGAATTTCTAAACCTCCGTTTCAAATAACGTGTGAACGAAAAGGTAATGTAACAGAGAATGAACGAGAAGTGATCGTAATTCGGTATTGGTATAAAAATTCGTAGTTTAATAACGGCCAACAATGTTACTGATAATAAATGTTTCTTCAAAAAGCCCCAAGAAAAAGTAAGGTACAGAAACTTGCAGATTTCTCGTCGGAAATAAGCCATAGCTTGCGTTAAATTAAGAAAATAATAATCAGCAATAAATTTATTAGAACTCACCCTTTCGGAAATTCACCTGCAGTTTGCAACACCTGTGTCACTAGGTCACTGAACCGATCCTGGTCATCGACTGCCGAAACGGTTTATGGCAGGGTATCGCCCAGTTCGCAGGTGATCACAGGTATACCTCACCAGCCGATGTTAAGGGTTGTAACGTCAAATGCGTCCTGGTTATTCCACCGAATACGTACTCACTTCACTGCACGACCACTAACACAGATCACCCGACACAATCACTTAATGTATTTTTAATCCAACGTGTTGTTCCTACGTTAGGAAAATTCGTGGCCCCGGAAAGGGCCGATTGTTTTCAATTTATCAGATGTTTTACGTAGCCAAACACTTGCACATCAGCACCCGCATATCCGTTATTCTGTACGTACCACCATAACATTGCGTAACACTCCCGTGAACTGAACATCTCTGTCGCCCGATTGCTAACCGACTGACAGAATTTTTCCGAAAGGGCTTCCTCTACCCCCAAGTAGTTTCCCATCGTTACATTGTGAGTTCACTCCCACCACGACAAGATTTAGGTAAAAAGAAACAAACGGTTCTAGGATAACACGTGCTAGGTAGAAGTAGAAGGAAAGAACCGTCGCGCAGTTTCAACAAGGCGCGTAGCCCGTTAATTTATTACCAGGGTACCTACTCCTTCGAGATAGGAAACAGACATCACATGTATCGGCTTGAGAATGTCCGAAATAAAGAGGACCACCAACGTGCCCGTTGCTTCGAGTTGGAAAGCACAATGTACATTTTTTTCCTCGAGGAGCAGGAAAAAAATGTTACCGACACGTGTAAGTTGACGCTTCTTGGCCCTGGACGACCACCCTTGTAGAGGCCGGAGCAGAATTTTCGGTTATTTATGGCTCAAAATCTTCGACCTCGTAGCAACCGTGATCTCACAACACAATTGACAATCGACAATTTTATTACAGCTCTGTGAAATTGTAGTTCTCATGAAAACATTTCATACCTATTTTTTTTTTAGTATTCCGTCAAACATCTAGCAAATTATTAGAAATATAAAAACCGTATTCGTTAAACTCTTTTCCGTAATATAAGTCTATCGGTAGGGCGATACGGTTCATATTAACGTAGTAGTAACCTATTGAAGACAGCGGTGAGCCCCGGTTCGGGTAAAAGAACCGGGCGCTCCACTATTACAGACGACTAACGGTATCGCCAACGCTCCAGACTATTTCAATGAGATTAAAAGCTATATCAATGTGTCAATGATTTACGGATAAGAGTTCAACGAATACGGTAGTATTTTTTTTTTATTTACCTGCACCGCGCACTGTCAGGAGTCGGCGAAAGATTGTTTGAAGAAAGGGATTATTCTGTAATTCAATGATATAGCTACATTCAATATCAAAACAAACACAATATTGCAAATTATTTGGTTTATATATTTCTAATAATTTTCAAGATATTTGACGGAATACTGTAAAAAAATACATATGAAATGTTTTCGTGAGAACTACAATTTCACAGAGATGTAATAAAATTGTCGATTGTCAATTCTATTGTGAGTTGACGGTTGCTACGAGGCCGAAGATTTTGAGCCATAAATAACCGAAAATTCCGCTCCGGCCTCTACAAGGGTGGTCGGCCAGGGCCAAGCAGCGTCAACTTACACGTGTCGGTAAAATTTTTTCCCTGCTCCTCGAGATAGACAATGTACATTGTACTTGGTGGTCCTCTTCATTTCGGACATTTTCATGCCGAAGCACGTGATGTATGTTTCTTATCTCGAAGGAGTAGGTACCCTGGCAATAAATTAACGGGCTACGGACCTTGGTGAAACTGCGGGACGGTTCTTATCTTCCACTTCTACAAAGCACGTGTTGGGGGTAGAGAAAGCCCTTTCGGAAAAATTCTGTCAGTCGGTTAGCAATCGGGCGATAGAGATGTTCAGTTCACGGGAGTATTACGCAATATTATGGTGGTACGTACAGAACAACAGATATGCGGGTGTTGCTGTGCAAGTGTTCGGTTACGTAAAACATCTGAAAAATTGAAAACGATCGGCCCTCTACGGGGCCACGGATTTTCCTAACGTAGTAACAACACGTTGCATTAAAAATACATCAAGTGATTGTGTCGGGTGATCAGTGTCAATGGTCGTGCAGTGAAGTGAGTACGTGTTCGGTGAAATATCCAGGACGCACTTGACGTTACAACCCTTAACATCGGCTGGTGAGGTATACCTGCAATCACCTGCGAACTGGGCGATACCCTGCCATAAACCGTTTCGGCCGTCGATGACCAGAATCGGTTCAGTGACCTAGGGACACAGGTTTGCAAACTGCAGGTGAATTTCCGAAAGGGTCAGTTCTAATCAATTTATTGCTGATTATTACATTTTTAATTGAACGCAAGCTATGGCTTACTTCCGGCGATAATTCTGCAAGTTTCTGTACCTAACTTTTTCTTCGGGCTTTTTGAAGAAACTTATTCATTATCAGTAACATTG